CCCGGCTGCTGGGGCGGGCAGGGACGGGGGCATTTCGGGGGGATGTTAGCTACTCAGCGCTGCCTAGTTCTCTCCCTCCCCGCTGGCCTTTGCTGCTAGGGAAACTAGTTGGTTTGCAGCGTGTACTGCCCCGTGCAGAAATTGTTCGTTTGGTGGGGGTTTTTTTGCTGTATTTTAGCAATCTACTTAATTTTGTATTAAAAGACTTACTTATGCAAAATTTTTTGCAGTAAGCTTTTCTCAGAGATACAAGCAAATATTTTTATTTGTTTTACTTTTAATACAGGAGTTGCTCAGGGTGATGAGGACGATCGATGACAGAATTGTCCACGAATTAAACACTACGATTCCAACAGCTTCCTTTGTGGGGAAAATTGATGCCGGCCAGACGTGTAAAGAGCTGTACCAGTCTGTGAGTGTGCGCTCCTTCAACTTTCAGCGTGCTTCCTGATGTTTTATTACGTGCAGTGGTCAGTAAAGCATCCTCAGTTTCTAAGGAAACCACTGCCTTGATATATCATACATAAAGCATGCTTTACGTATCCGTAACTGGCATGCTCGACTTGTCTACACAGCCAAACCACGCACACGTAACAGCTACGTCAGTTTAAAACCACGTGAGCGACTTGTTCTGCAATGCTCATCCTTCGAGGTGTACTTCAGGCTTCAGTGGATGGCATTAGCCCAGGCCACTTCTTTTTTTTTTAAAATTGGGGCTAGTACACTTTTGCACTCCTTTGCAAGACTCTTGCTCGTGTATCTTTGACTTTTGATCAAGTTGGTAGCTGCTGCTCAAAGCAGTGTTGCTTCCAACACGTGGATTATCGAGTCAAAGGAATTTCTGTAAGCACAGCAATAACTTGACTTTAGAAAGTCTCTCTTTTAAGTTGTAACTGGGAGGGTTTTATTCTCTGCTGAACTAGTTGTTATGGCTTTCTCTCTCCCCCCACTTAGTTGATGGATGCTCACACCAGCAGAGAGAGAATCATCAAAAACTGCATCGCTCAGACTTCCAGTGTCGTGAAAACTCTCCGAGAAGAGAGGGAACAGGCCCAGGATGATGTAGCATTATTAAAGCAACTCAGGAAAGAGCAGACAAAGGTGAGTAGTGGAGCTTTTTAGAGATCACTTAGAGAGGAAGAAGAGGGTATCTTTCCCAAATGAAGACCAGTGTGAGGGAGAGAAGCTGAAGTGGATCTTGACTGAGGCAGTCTTTTCCAAGGTTCTTGTTGGCTGGGTTTGTGAGAACCATTTCCCCTAGCCCTCAAGACAGAGCTGCTTTTATCCTGCAAGTGGAGCAATTTCCAAGATCCTATTACACAAATGCTGTAGAAGAACATGCGTACTTCCCCATGGTGGACTCTAACCTTCACTGACTAACACCACTTAGCGTACAACTTACCTGGGGTTTGCTGAGTCCTTTTAAAATGCTTCATGGTTCATTTTGCCTTTTTGAGATCCTGTAAAACGAGCATATCTGCAAATGGCAAGTATGGGTGCCAAGATGCAAACACCAGAAGATAATGAAATACGGCTTTTGTGTATGTCTCTTGCACCACACAGTTGCGTAGCCTTAAAGCTGTCCCTTTTCATCATCACCCTGAGAAGCATTGTTCTTACGCAGTGTGTTAATTGGAGTTACTGTCCTCTACAAGGAGCTGCCAGGCAACCTTGAGTTTCACTGTGATTAGCTGTGATGTGAACTGTTCCATTGATTTCTCTTCCAGACCTGCTCTGTATGGCTTGTGTTGACTTTTTTTTTCCACACCACATGCTTCCTGCACATACCAAATAAGACTGCTTGCTTACTGCTTTTTTTGCATATGCTGGCTAGGTGCATCTGTTGTGTTCAGCAGTTTAGTGAGCCTTCCTTTGTTGAGGACTGTCTTAACCAGGGTTTCTGAAACAGTGCCTTTGAGTTTCCAATGTAATGGCAAGTTCTTCTCATAACAGCCAGACATCCCACTATTATAGATATATGTATAGTCCTATACCCTGGGTGTGGCTTTCCCCGCTGCAATATTGTAAGACATGAAGAGATGGGTCTTGAAGTTTTGCTTTTGCGGTGCTGAACTACCTGAAAATCCACTTACCCCTATACTTCCAAGAGGGGCCTGTTGCAGCCCCTGTTTCAAAGAGCAGTTGGATGTTGATACAGTTGTAGTAAAAGAGCTTCCGGAGGGGATGATTTGAACTCAAGCATCTGATTTTTTTCCCAGGCATTGAGTGAGTGAACTGTTTTCTTCATGTGCTCTTCAGAGAAGTGCTCTGTTGTGAGCTTGTATTTAAAAAACCACGTAGCAGGCGAGCGGTTTTATTCTTAAAGCCTCGCTTACGGAACTGCTAACAAGCATCCATATTAGTTTGGAAAACTAGAATGGTAGCTTAGTATTTTCTACAAATTTTGTTTGCAGAGCCAATTCTTTAAATCATTTAGTTACCTAGTCCAAAACCTATCACTGAAATGATAGGAGGATCGCAGTGCTAATGTTTAATAATTGGAGGTGATTTCAAATGTTAAAAGCAATCCATGATTTGGAAACATCCCAGAAATCTTTTGATGAGATGACCTCATATATGGACTTGGACTTTATGAGGTGTAGTTGTGCCTTTTTTTTTTTTTTGGTTCTCTGAGAGTTGTGGTTTTTCTACAACTTAAATAAACTATCTTGACAGATTGACAGAACACATCCTACATTTAAGATTATGCATTTCAAATATATATTTACTTGGTTGCAATACAGATCTGTTTTCTCTTGTTACTTGTGTTTCTCTCATCCTGCTAATGGTACAAATTGGAGGACTTTATCCAAAGTTATTACTTCTGGGTCATCGAATAAGAAAACTTGGAGTAGTGTCAGTCTAGCAGCCAATTCTTTTAATCCACTTACATTAAAACATTGTTTGATTATTGTATTAATTTGTTATCATTTTAGTTTACTTGAATGAAGTATCATAAAATACCAAACCAAATAAATTCTGGAAATCCAAAACATACAGCATAATGATTGTTAGCTTTATCAAGTGAATTAGTAAGGCTTGTTAAAATGTCAAAGTATGTTTTAAAAACAACAACAGCAACAACAAACCCCCTGTATAGCCATGCTGTTTGACACTATATTGCTGTTCAGGTCTGCAATCTAAGGAAAATGTTAAAACAGTAGTTTTGCTTAGGCTTGGTGTCAGAGGCAATTAATGTGACAGTCCAGGTGATTGTAAACCTATTCACATCCTCCAGCAGGAAAAACCTTTCTTTGAACTGCTAAAAAAAATCTGAGTGGTTATTTTATAGAGACTAATCCTGGTCATCTAGACACCTTGTGGATGCTGGATTGTTATTTCTAACAGTTTGGGGTCCTATTGAGTAGGTAAAATTTCATCCAGCAGCTGTATTAGCTGTGTGTGTCTGGACATCTTACTTGGAAGGTTTTTCATGGGATTGCTCTCTTGGCTTGCACCTGTTCACAAGCTTTCCAGTTGGAACCATGTATTTAAAATGGATAAACTCTGATCCTTAGTCTGTTGTGTTAAAGGTATACGTGGAAGAATGACAACTCAAGGCTGCAGAACGCTGGCACTGGCATTCCCCATGCCAAGTGCTTGAATTAAGCATAGTTATTTCTGTCTGTGAAGCCATTAACGTTAATCAGTTAATTGCCAGCAAATCTTGGTGTGCAGTATTTAAGAACGGAGCATTAGTAATCAGGAGCTGCTTCTGCCAGGCTTGCATTGCAAGTCTGCTTTCACCATGCCCCTGCAGACTTCAGTCTACCCCGAGTATCGGCTGAATGGAAGGGCCAGACTTTCAGGGTGATTGCACATCATGCCCTTCAGTTTGCAGCATCGGAGGGCATGCGCACCTGGCACTGGGGTCGTGATCTAGAAAGTTGCAATGCTAGTAAATACTAAAGACTGCAGGGAGGCCTGTTTGACAATAACCTCTTTATCTGTTACTTCCTGCAGTTGAAATTGATGCAGTCGGAGCTGAATGTCGAAGAAGTGGTAAACGACAGAAGCTGGAAGGTACTCAGTCGTTTAAAATAGTGATGATGTTCTGTCCCAACAGACAGTCCTGCACTGGAGGTGTGGGACTGGTGCCTTACGAGGCCTGTTAATTAGAAATAGGTAAGGTCAGTACTGGGTGAAATGTTTCAGATCAGTCGTTTTCCCAACTCTGGATGCAGAGCTCAAAGGTTTTTGGTTGCACTGCAAGGACAAGAAAAGTGTCTGATTTAGGGGGCAGAAAGGACTGTGGAGTACTCCCTGTATAGATCCCTTTCTCCTCCTTGCCCAGTGGCTAAGGACTTTGTAGGCTTTTCCATGGTGGCCTGTCTGAAAAGCTTTGCTGGGTCTCTAACAATGTCAGAGGGATGAGTCTTTCAAATTTGACTGTGTTTGGTACTGATCACACTTCTGAGCAAGCAGAGGCTGGAGGAGGGTGGAGCTGTAGAAGGTGAACCTTTTTCTGATGGAGCTTCTGCAGGCCTGGGCTGATGCTCCCTGGTGTAAAGAGCACGCTTGCCGTTGCTCTGCTGTGTCAACAGAGGGGGCAGATCACCCTCTGGATTGATGGCCCCAAACACTGTTGTTATAAAGTGATCTTAACACTGAGCTTAAATTCTGAGGTGGCTGTATTCTGTCACTGCAGCATTTCACGTCTAGCATCCTTTTCTCATTTGTTGTAGCCTTTAACAGCTTTCAATACTGTATAGAGGATCTCTGATCTCGATCCCTCTCTAAATGCAAAAAGGATTTTTGCAAATAGCTAGTACTAGGTGCAGTTCCATTTTTAATCTCTACTTTAAGATTTTAGTCCTCTAGATTGCATCAGCAGAAATGCAATAAAGTTTGTGTGTTCTTGGAGGTCTAGTCACCGCAATACAGCTCAGCGCAGGCTGATTAGACGACCATCTACACATTTCTCCAGGTATGCTCTGCTGTCAGTATTGCCTCTCTACTGTCTGAAAAAGCTATTCATGCTCTGGACCTTAATTAATTTAAAGTCAGCTCAGATATGACTAAGCAACACTACAGCCTTAACAACATGCTGCAGACCACCAGTGGCAAACATTTTATGGCAAGTCTGCTATCAGTTTTATTTGAAAGGGGTAGGGGGGAATACCTGCGTCACGCTATCTCCATTCTGAAGCCCAGAGCTGGCACCAAAGTTATCACTAATGCCAGTGATTTTCTGTAGCTGCACTAAGCTTTTGCTAGTGTCAGAAATGTCCATATTTTCCTGGAGATGGAGAACATTTTGTTCATAAGTAGTGAGGTATGCATGGTGCAGGGGTATCTTAGCCTGCTGGTGTTTAAAATAGGGCTGGAAGACAAAAGTGTTTCAGGGTTTTATCTCCAGCTCTGCTATTGTCTCTGTCTGAATATAGGCATGAAGGGCTCATTTAGCTGCCTGTAAAAGTACGTCACTGAAGGAATTAGACCCAGTCATAGTTGTAGACCATATGCAATTTCTTACATTGAAGTGGTTATTGGTTTGCAGGTGAAGACCTCCACTCTATTTTACTGTTGTAGACTTTTAGTTGGAAAGTAGATTTACGTATTTACATTAACCCTAATGAACTGAAAACTGATTGGAAAAATCTGATAAGGAAACAAAGTTATTTTCAAACACTTACTCTGTAGTTGTAGCAATAGTGGCATACAGAAAGATGCTGCTTTATAGAAATGCATGTGGCAGAATTTTGTTTGGCTAGTACCGAACAGGGAATTTACTTCCAAAGCAAGACACTTGCATTAGTCTCTGTACAGCACCTCCACACTGGCATTTATCGTTGGAGTGTTTTGCATTAACATGTAAAACCCCAGCTAAATCAATCTTCTGCATAGTAACATGAATGTTAATGTTTTTCAGGCACTGTTTTTCCTGTCTGAAAAATGAGAATAGCACTACACAGGTAGACCGATGGAGTTAGTTGGCCTGAGTAACATGCTGAGATCTCTGGGTCAATGATGCTAAAAGTGGGAAGCAGTGTTAGTAAGATTGCAGTATTGTTCCTTCTTCCATAGGCTGCAGAGGTACTGTTAAAGACGCTTTAAAAGTTTGCATGATAGCAAGTTGGATGCTGCAATTTTTTTGATGTGGTGTTTGATGCAAGAGACCCTTACAGTGTTTTAAAGTGTATTTCCAATACCCTTTAAGACATATATGCCCTTAAAATGTCTTTGACAGAAAATGGACAAAAATGGTGCAGTTTGCGTAGTATTAAAATGCTTCTGAATGGGAACCCTTTGTGGCTCTTAATTTCTACAGTTTCCTTCTATTGTTTATCTGATCTCAGACTTTTACATACTCTTGACTCTTCCAGAGGTGTCCATTGCTTATGGTAATGTAGCGGGACAGGCTGTGTGCGTGTGAAAGAAACTATATCACAACTTTTGTTTCCTGCAATATGAAGCGGTTTCTAATACATTTCTGTTTATTAAAGTAAATTAAATCTGAAAATAAGTTGAAAATTACTCAAAAATTGTTAAGAATAAATGCTAAAACTAATGCATGCTGCAAACGTCACTTTTGCTGAAGGTGCCATAGGGTCTGAACTCTGCATAAGGAGATCAGCTGTAGAAGTAGAGTTTAGGAAGATATGATTTAAAATAATGTATTTATACAAAGTAATGCATAACTTCCCCAAACTACAAGACCGCTCACTTTGCAAGTGAAGCCAACAGGAGAGTTCATGAAACTTGACATCTTGAAGATCACAGGCATTTGAATCTGAAAAGTCTATGAACAGTTTGGCAAAGTATGCTCTTGCAGGAGTGCTCGTGGGGGACTGGATAACAGCCAGTGCCTCAGCTTGGTGCTAGGTGGTGCTCGTGTCACTTTTCAGGACACGCACTCGACAAAGTTTGAGCCAAAACGATAAATAACTAAATCACTTGTAAACAGCACCTGTAACTTTGGTGTGAGCCTACGTGTTGTGCTTTTGATTCAGACTGCCTTACTTTAAATAGTGACATTTATTGGCCTTCCTCGGGGTAAGCAGTCTTCTTGACAAGGCCTGCAGTTCAAGCTAAATGAACATGATCTTCAGTCTCTAGTTCTGTGTGCTAAATTTTACCCAGAGAAGGTGCCAGAGGTGAGTGAGGTGAGAGCAGTGTGCCCTTTGCGATAGGAGATCTGGCAACATCAGCACCTGCGGTCAGATAACTGAAAGTGTGAACACTGCTTCCAAGAGCCCTTGCACGTCTTTATAGCTGTCGCAACGATGTAAAACACATTTGTTCAGGAAACAGAAGAATACAGTGTCCAAGTTTGAATCCCAGATTGAACTTAACAGAACATAGCTGGTCAGGAGCCTTCCACTGATAAATTTCCCTCCTTCTTTAAAAATAAATAAATAAATAAATAGGCATCATCATCATCATCATCTTTGAGGATAACAGACTACCAGGATTCTAAGCCTGCCTTACCTGAGGGAGAACACTTTTAGTGCTATGCAGTGCCTCAGCATCAGGCTGCAAATTTTGGATTCACTAAAGCAAGGAGACAAGGTGTATGGAGACAGATGCCTTGGTAAGTACCATTTATTGGTACAGCAGGGCTGGGCAGCTTGAGATGGGTGCTACGTGAAGAGATAGTTGCTAGCTCTGAACTAGCTCTGAAGTTCTGATCATCTCCTGGATGAGGGCTGATTTGCTTTTGCTCTTCTGTTTTGGTGTCTCAGGTATTTAATGAGCGTTGCCGAATTCACTACAAGCCTCCGAAGAGTCAATGATGTGGGGTATTGTCCATCAAGGTGGTCCATAACCATGAGAGCCAAACTGGAAAGAGACCTTGGGTGAGCTGTATTGGGACCCTCCAGAACCAGTAGAACCCAATCTCGTTTTGTTTTGGACCTACTTAGCTGAAATTTCAAGGTTGAAATGATTCTCCTGTAATTAAGAGAAAACAGCTCATCTTTTGTACAAAATATGTGAACAAATGAGTTTTATAGTATTAAAATAATTTTCAAATGGAATGCGAAACTGGCATCTTTCTTGAACTTTTTCAGCTTCAGCAGTCCTAGAGGGGAAGAAACAGTAAAAACCAGCTCTGAGCAGGGAGGACATGGCTCTCCCTGAACTGATGCTTGCCAAACTATCAGGGAACATGGTGTGTTTGCGAAAATAATCTACTAAAATCTGAAAGGAAATAAAACTTGCAGAATGATCAGCAAGTGTAGGTTCAGCATCCCTGAAAGTAAGAGGCTACCAGTATTGTTCTGAACTACTCAACTCTAGAACTAGCGTTGGTTCAGAGCTGCATGCAGATACAGGTTTGACATTCTTCCCACCATGCTGACAGGGAGCATCTCTTGCACACTGTCCTTTCATCTGTGTTACCAAGTTCTGGATTTTTTCTTTAAATAGGGAACATGGTGTCAATTAAAACCACTTTGAATTGGAGACAGAGATATGTCTTATTCAGGAATGAGACAGTGAACTATCCCTATTTTGTACCTCCTTCTGAACCTTTAAGATTAATTCTATAGTTGAATTGCATTTGAACTGAGAAAATAGCTGTGCATACCTGATCTTGTTGATTCTGGCCATAGTGTTGTATTTAGAAAGCTTAACTGCAGCACCCTTGCAGTAACACAGCATTTAAAAGCAGATGAGGAAGGCAGAATTGCTGTAATTACACCTGTATTTTTTACTAACTCTAATTAGCTGACAGTCAAATGACAAGGTCTGTGTGGTTGCCAGCTGTTTTTATTACTTAGTGATAAGTCTTTAAGAATCATTGAACTTGAGCAGAGCCTTTAAAATACAGGCTCCATCTTGCAAACACTTTCAGTTACAGCACCTAAATGACTATATACTCTCACATCCTTAAAAGCTGTGTGTATATGGGGGATGAGAAGTCAATGGAGGAATGTACCTGTGTTGCTGAAAGCTGGCAAAAATCTGTGCAGCATCATCTGTTTTATAGTTGTTTGTCCAGTAGAGACTTGAACTACTTGGTGGCCTTTATTTTTTAGGCAGCAGAGTCATTTAGTCTCAATTTTCTTTGAGAATGACGCAGAAATATATTTTAAGTCTTTGAGGATGTAAATCCTAATGTTGAAACTTCATTTTTTCCCCTTTTTTTCCCAAGGTACTGCAACTGCTCTAAGCAGAACTTTACTCCAGTTGGAGCGCTCGTCTCACTTTTGAAGTATTCTCATTGTTTTTCTGCAAGTCTGAAAGCAGAAAACATGTTTGTTCTTCAGCTGTTAAATTCTTATAATTGTTTATCCTCAAAGTGGAAATAAAATACTGCTCAGAACTGTGGGCTGAGTTGCCAGTAACCTAATTTCCACAGGAGATGGTCCGCTAATCAGATGTTGAGAACAGTTAGTTTTGATTTCAAAGTTGGTACTTTAATACTGACCTATAATATAGGTGTCTAAAATCTTTGTTCTGTTCAGGGCCTGGGTCTACAACTGCAGAGACAAATTCCCCTTTTAAGCCAGTTGTATGATAGAAACTTCTGCCAGCATGTATGGAGTTGGCATCAATACTCTTGAAATCTAAGCTTGTATTGTATTTCTGCAGAAACTAGAGATTGTAATGAGAATTAATCACTGTCCTCCTCTAGCCATCCAGATGTTTGCTCAGCTATTGTGGGAAAACTTCATATAAGCAGATGCTGTGAAACATGACCTGTGAAATGGATGTGATACATATGCAGATTTTTTTTTTTTTTTTTGCAGTAGCCCAGCTTAGCATTTGTTATGAGAAAACTGTGGAAAAAAAAAAAACCCAACCCAACCCCAACATAGCACTATTTTTTATTTGAATATAAGGCCAAACATGTAGATCTATACAAACCTGTATATGAAAAGCTTCTGACACCATAAGACAACTTCCAGGTCCCAAACATCCCCTCTTAGGGTGTTTGCAGCTTGTATACAGAGAGTTGCACTAAGAAGTTGAATTACTGTATGTAGTTTGCTCTGAGTACAGAGGGATATCTCTTACAGTACATGGCAAATCACACGGATCAGAGGCTGTTTGAATCTCGCTGTTGAACTTAGTGGAACATTAAGGTGAGTAACGGGAATTGCATGTCATGCTTTGGGGCACGGGGAAGGAGAAAAAGGCTTTGCTGTTTTTGTGAGTACTTCTGTCTGTGAAGTGGGATGTTTTGTGATGGTATGTAAATGGCATTGGTATGAGCTGTGGGCCTTACTAAACAAAGGCAGGTAAAATCTCTGGGTTACTGACCCCTGTCCGTTCTAGGATCATGCCTAGTCTGCGATTGAATCCTGCTTCAACTTTACCATCAAGGTAGTCACAAAATTACTGTGCTCCTTGGTGTTGTATGTGAATCAAATAACGGACCCCACAAATACCAGGATTTAATCCTTTTCCTGGTTCTAACTATTTCTGCAAGTAAAGGCACTTGAACAAAAAGCACAACTGATGCCCCTACCCAGAGTCTAGATCTGCAGGTGGCTTCCCCCTCTGCTGGGGCTTTCCCATTGCTTGGAAATGGTGAATATACGTGGGTGGAACCCAGTTCCTTGGAAAGCCCTCTCAATCCTGTGCTCCTTTACTTCCTTCTGTGAAACAGAAAGAGGTGTGTTTTTCTGGCACTCGGTGCTGTTGTCTGCTGCAGCCTGTTGGCACTCGAGACTGTTGAAATAGGTAATCTCATTACAGCATTTTGTAAGGATAGAATTTGGCTGTCTCAAAGCAGACTGAGGGGAAGAGGCTTTTTACTGGTACCATGGGCTCGTCATAGGCTAGGATATGATAACTTTGTGCTGCTGAAGTTCAGGTTTCTATTAATCCTAGTTGATGTACAATGTCAGAAATCTTTTGAAATCAGGGTGGATAGCAGGATGGGAAACCTTCTTTGCAGATCAGCATGTTGAAAGTCAAAGCTGTTGTAACTGTAACGATGACGAGTAGATCCTTGATTGGTAGAGGGAGGGCTGCTTTCCTTTGGCAGCCCTTCAAATTTGGTGCAGACCATGTGTCATTTCATCCAGTCACAATTACGTGTCTTGTCACTGTGAAACCAGAAGACTGACCTACTGACTTAGCTTTCACAATAATTTCTACTGAGGTGGCTTAATTTCTAGCTTAAAAATAACTCATAAATACATAACCCTGGGGTTTGAGGTTTTGTTTGTCTGTTTGCTTTGTTTTGTTACTGTACTGGTGTTGTTATTGAATACAGCTTCTACTTCTTAAAATTGCTTGTACAAGACCAGAGAGGAGTGGCCTGCAAGCTTTAAAGATTTGTTTCATTACTGGAATAGTACATAGTGAAAGATGTTACTCACCTTTAAAACCGTAAAGACTCCTAGTGCTGTCCTCCTAGCACAGATTCTCCACATTAACAGCAGTACAGTTACGTGAAGAGAAATTGCCAGCTGTGTGAATGGTGAGTGTAGGCTGGAATGGTAGGTAGTATCAAACTCATCTCCAGTACTGAAGTGGAGACACTCACTAGCTTGTTGATGTTGGGCAAGAAATGGAATGGGGACAGCTGGTCTTTTCAAGGCAATGTTCCAAATGCTGTTTCATTACATCCAAAGCTTAATAGAGAGAGGTGTAGATGAGGGTTGCCTAGGATAGTCTGTTGCCACTGGTCATCATTGATAGTAGGTCTGTGAAACAGCAGCATTTCAAAGTGACTTCATGAACTATGTGTGCAGGATGAGTACTGCATGCCAGTCTTGGAAATATCACTCCCATGGAAAGAAAACAGACTGATTGGCCTGTGTAAACTTCAGCATCAGCTTGCTGACAATTAGCATTGATTTCCCTTCCATAAAACTCTGTGCATTCGGGGCGGGGGGAGTTCTTATGCTTTGAAGTAAAAAAATGGAAAACCCAGAAATATGGAGTTCAGTCCAATGAATGATTTCCATGCAACTTTAATGTCTTGAGTTTCACACCTACAGTATTTGCAAGATTATAAATTAACCCTCTTAGTCTTTGTGCTCAGTGTATTTCTTACTAATCAGAATCAAGAGTTCTCCAGAGAGGTAGTGCTGCCTCGGGAATCTTATCAACATCCCTTTCCAGGGGAGTTAGTGAGATATGCATCCTGATGAGTGCAGAAGCTTATAAAATATCCTGGTTTAGCACTGGTGCTGCATCATTGTTGGATGCATTCTGTGGCTTCTGGCCTCAGTAAGGTGAGCTGGCTCTTCCAGTTAAGTTAGCTCATCTGTCCTGCTCTGTGAATAAGATGCATGGTAGCAACATGGTGGAAGATGATCACCATTTGAATCAGCAGGGTGCTGTGCAAAAAAAGGAGATTGAGCTCATCAGCTTGAATTGTCATGAACCCCACAGATTGGGCTGTGAGAAACTTCTCAACTGGAGTGGTGAATTTGGAGAAGATGGCAGACTTTCAGCTTTAACACTTCCCATTCCCTTTATTCCCAAGAACTGGAAACATTTTTCTCTTTGTTCAGAAACACGTTGTCTCGGGACAACTGTTTTTTCCACAAATCATGCACTCCCATAACACTGCTGCCCAAGTTTGGGAAATTTTGTAACGTCCTTATCAGTAAGCTGCTTTTACCTTGATCCGTATGCTGTTGAGTTTAGGGCCCTTCCAGCCCCAGTTTCTCAATCTCAGGTCCTTTGTACCAAGAACAGGCCTTGAAGTTAGGTATGAACTACTTGTTTACAGTCTGTTGCATCACTTGTCATCAGTGAGGAGGGTCAGTAGGCTGGTTAGGACACTGACAAGTCTGTGCTACACAGTCACCATTGCTGTGGCCATGAACAGGCTTGTTTGTAGCAAATTCCCTAATGCTAATTCCAGCAGAAATGCCCATGGCCCACGTGCGGCACACATTCTCATTTCAACCCCTCTCCTGTATGCACCCCTAAGGACTAAAAATGGTCTGGTCTGTTGCTACTACTCAGCTCTGGAACAACATTCCTCCCATTTGCTGGAGAGGGGGATGGCAGGAATACTGAAGGCGAATAGTTTTTCTGTGGTCTTGAAGTGTTAGTTCTC